CAATATAGAATCTAAAATTCACTGTGTGACATTTTATTCAGCCATGTATAAATGCACATAATAAATATGCATGAGACAAACTCAAGTGGAAATACAGGAAAGGAAGAAAAGGGGATGAAAAAGTGGCATCTGAATGACAATAAATACAACTATCATAGTCCCTTGATGTTTAAAAGAGAAACATGAATCAGAACATTCTTTCATAAGCTCTTGAGTTATCAGAATGTGAAAAACAAAGAGAGTTGATGAGTCATTCCATGTTCAGTGACCCTGACATTACCTGGGCACAGCCAAGAACAATGTCCCATCAGTTGCTGTTTTCCAACCAAAAGTGTTTTACAGAAGTTATTAATGATATCACTTCTGGTATTTGTTACTAAAAGCCCCTTTCCCCACCCACCAAATTTGGAGAAAATACATATTTTTTCCAATTTGGGACTTATTTGTCTTGCATTTTATACATTTATAAATAAGAAGTAGAAAAGAACAGTAGAGGCAGGATGTTACATCAGTGGCAAAGGCCTCTTCTACACTGTCATATAACCCAGGTTATCAAAACAGATAATCCAGATTATCGACCTTGAGCTGGATTATATGAGTATACACTGCCATATAATCCTGTTCAAAGCAGATAATCTGGATTTTATATGGCAGTATAGAAGGGGCCTAAGACTTTTGACAGGTTCTTCATATACACCGTCTGCTCCAAAAATAAAACAGCTTGTATGACTAATTGTGCACCAAGTACTAAGTATAATTCCTGCTATCTTTTCATACTGCTTTATTATCTGTCACTGTAGACTCAGTCCCCTTCCACACAGCTGAACAAAATCCAACATTATCTGTTTTGAACTGGAATCTATGGCAGTGTGGACTTGGATAACCCAGATCAAAGCAGATATTGTGGGATTTTTTTGTCTAGATATTCTGGGTTATATGGTTATGTGGAAGGGCTCTCATATAAATCCAATTCAAAGCAGATAATTTGGGATCAGATCCTGGGATATGGAGCAATGTAGATTCAGCCTCATACAGTAGAAAAATGTTTCTTGGGCAGCACTTTATAGTTAGCCATGTTGTGTTCAGTCCACTCCACATAGGACATCCCATCATGGTACCAGCCCAACCTCTTTTTAAAAGTCCGTCAATTGGAATGTCCCTGATCGTTGCAGTCTTGATCACACAACATAAAAGTTTCATAAAGGAAATGTTTTACTTGTTAAGCTTTAGAATGTATTGCACACTCTCCATCTGGGTTACTGGCCAGTTCGGCAGCAATCGTTCCAAATAATCCAACCCTGTGCCATTTTTTCAACTGTTTTCAAGATGTTCCTCTCTCCTGCCCTTTCTCCTGTATGCTTCAGTTATTACAGACTGAATTCAAAATAGTATAATAGTTTGTACTCTATTAATTCAGAAAGTTGTAGATGCAGCCAACAGCAAACTTCTGTAGCCTCTCTTATGTGTTTTTCAACATTAATAACTTTGGGTTGTTATAGGTTTTTTGGGCTGTATGGCCATGTTCTAGAAGCATCCTCTCATTAATAACATTTTGACCACATGCTGATCTTGCTTGTATGCTTCTACAAATATATGGAAACTTGCTAAAATTGTGTCATTCATAGAGTTCTTAGAATGCAATCTTCTTGTCACTAAATTGGGTTACGTTTGCTTATTCAGTTTCAAATGTAATCTACACAATAATAAGCATAGTCATGAATTGTTGTTACTGAGCTCTACAGATAAATGGAAAATAAATTATCCCTTACTGCACTACTAGTTTTCTTAACAGATTAATTCAGTGATTGAAAAGTAACTTCCCATAGCACAGTGTAGGAACAGGGAGAGAATTTTCTGTGAATGTCAAGTATTTTTTTAAAAATATACTGTTTATTTTAAGCTTTCTATTCAATTTTTTCCATAACATTCAGAGAACCAACACATGACGTATTACACATGGCAGACCATACACTCATCCCAAAACCCCTATCCCACACAAAATAAAACCTCTTCCTCTTCCCCACACCCATGCACTCTTCACCATGACTTCCAACACTGAAACACTATGAAGCCTTTAAGCCTTTTTATCTATCCCTGTTCATAGTAAACATAAATTCCTAATGGAGCTCCTCTATATTACTGACTCTCTATTCAGATATGTTACGGCCAACATCAAGTATGATTGCTAACTAATTGATTGCTTTTATATAAAAACACAGCTTTAGATTCAAGGTTTATATTTGTCAGTCAGAAATCTAAAGTTGGGAAAAGGTTTTGTTCTTCCTTTCTTTTCCTTCTTTTACATGTTTGCACATACTTCTTTTACATGTTTGCACAATCATCCCCATTGATATTCTGCAAAGGAATGGGACACTTCTCCTTTCTCACGTGGCCTGCTAGTATAATAGCTAGTTGTTGATTGCTGGTTATGCTTCAATGATTATTTACTATATAATTGCCCCATAAAATTATAGGATAGTGATAATCATTCAGTTATAATTAAATGGACAACAGCAGTAAAACATTTGATTTTAGAACTCTGTCATAAAACTCTGAACATATAAATATTTCATATCTTAATACCCGTCACATCACTAAATTTAAAGAAGTGTTAACAGCATTGTACTGACTTTCATATGAACCTGGGAAGATGTATGTGGAACATACATTGCTACTCACTCACCTGAGTATCCTATGGTGGGTTTATGCTAGTACTGTATAACAATGGGTCATTTTCTGAATACTAGTCTGTCAGTCTTTGAAGGGTTTAGGCTTGTCTGATGTGATATGTAGCTTGTAAAGTTGTCTATAGGAAACACAGCCTTTTGTGCTCTAGAAAACTTCAAATAGTTATTTTCTGCTTCATTTAAAGTAGCCTAAAGTAAGAACATACTGTGCCTGTTACCTTCATAGGATGATACTATTGGGAACACAACTCATATTTTATGTTCCAGTTAGGATTGGGAAGAAATTTTATTCAATTTAACACGTTTGATGGAAATAGCATTTTTACATCTCTCAAAACTTGAATGAAAATGCATACATTACCATGAGCTTTTATTGATTTGAAATATATCTCAGTGGGTGAGAGAAAGTTGCAAGCATTAGATATATCATTCAATTAAATGTTCAAATTTGGGGAAATGGAAATAAATGTATAGATTTCCATGAAGGAAGAAAACAGAAAGGCATGCAACCTAGTAAGAAACAAGGATAATAAAAAATATAGTTTTTTTTTAAAGAAACCTAGGGAAGCTACAATTTTCCATGTTCCCTCTGTATGGTGACTTTTGGGGCACGATGTACATTAAACACCCATTACCCTCTTGGAGTGATGGAGGTCAGTCTTGGTGTCGAGTATCCCAAAAGTCGCCAGTGAACAAAGCTGGTGAACAAATATCTTTTTAAAATGCAACCAAGGCACAGCAGGAAAAATATTAGTAATAGCCTATCTCAATGAATCTCTCTGAAACCAAGTGATTGGATTTTTAGTCTTGCAGATTTGTTTAACAACTGGGCATTTTCTATGCTGAGAAGCATTTCCTGCAATAGAGTGCCCTTGTCAAATTTTCTTAGATGATAGTTGACTGTACAATGCATTGGGGGATCCTTGACAGCTGGTATGTCTGTAATCTTCTAAAGTAGTACAGCTGGACCCTGTGAAAACATAAAAGTATCAATTTTGAATTTAAATTTGTGCTTGAGACCCAGCAATTCTGGCATTTTTCATTTTTTTTCCCACAGCCAAAACAGCCAAAACAGCCAGTGTTGCTTTCACAAGTAGTTAGTTCGATGTGAAGCTGGTGTCCTGCTGAAAACTGAATAGATTATAGCATGGTTTATGCCCTGAGTTGCATTGCAATCCAGTCATTATATTTTACTCTTGGTGAATATGCTGGAACCCAGCACACAGAGAAATGGGAAAAGAATGCACATTATAATCATTTACCATTCTCAGGTACTCAAAATCTTCTTTCTGCATCCATGCAAGACATTTGAATTTTAAGCTTCTGAGAGTAAAGAGATATGCTTAATCTTTGGCTAGATGACAGTAGAAAAATATGAGAAAAGTGAATAACCTTTCTTGTACTTTAAGATTTAAAAATAAGAGCAAGGAAGCAATGTGGAAGAATTACCAAGGACTATGTCCAGTAGTGGAATTGCTTTTATTTTTTGTTGTTTCATAACTTCTGCACAATTTGATCATGTGTGTGTGTATTTCACAGTACCTGTCAATTTACAGTGACCCCATACATTTTATATGGTCTTTTTAGGCAAGAAATATCCAGAGATTATTTTGCCAGTTCCTTCCTCTGAAATGAAGTATGTGGTATTTTTGGGTCCCACCCAAACGCTAATTGGGACTGCCCCTGCTTTCAAGATCAAGATGGGATCTGCTGACTTTAGAAAATATCCAATGAAACCTGATCCAAAAGAGAGACGAGATGAGAGTTTCATTTTCCTATTTCCAACAGACCTCACTACCTCTGAGGATGCTTGCCATAGATGCAGGCGAAACGTCAGAAAAAATGCCTCTAGAACATGGCCATATAGCCCGAAAAACCCACAAGAACCTAGTTTCAGGATAGATAGATAGATAGATAGATAGATAGATAGATAGATAGGTAGGTAGGTAGATAGATAGATAGATAGATAGATAGATAGATAGATAGATAGATAGATAGATAGATAGATAGATAGATAGATATTCCAGCTTTCTTTACCCCACAGTGTTTTGGCTGAGAAATACTTACTTGGCCTTCTTCTGGGGATGATGAAGAAAAAAGGACAATGCTTAAATATAAATACAAAACATGAACTGACCAGATTAAAAAAAAATGTCTGAGCAGTTAGGACTCATATTAATTGGCACATGGAAAAAAAATCTATAAATGGTATTACTGAAAGCCAAAGTTACATGCACATAGAACAGTCCCTAACATGCTAACAAAGCGGAATGTTCTGCATGTCCCTATTAATGTTTTTTATATTCTTTGTAGGTACCTAAACACCAGCGTTTGGATTATTTTGTTGAAAAACTGGATCAGAGTGGAAGTAATGATTCGGTAAGACTCCATAATTATTCATGATCCTGTCTTGGTTTTGCTGGGTACTATTGTCTGCTGTTTTCTCAGTGAAATGACTGCATCTGTATCTATGCTTGTTGCATTCATCACCGGGCTCTGTTGTAGCCTGACAAGCATCAGATGAGCTTTCTGAGTGCTCAGAGGTTGAGGAAGGGGATGATGGATTTCAACCTGTAATGTCTGAGGAGCCTGTGGAAGATAACAGGGGCCTGGAGAGAGATGTTTTGGAATTGCCAGGCCATTCCCAGGCAACAGAAGAAAGTGATTTCAGTTCCTATGAGAATAGGCCAGAGTGACCTTCGGAAGAGAATGTGGGAGACAAAGGGTTTTCCAGATAAAGTTGCCTTGAAATTAGGAGGCAAGATGTAAAACAAAGGCAAACTCGTTTTTCTCTGAGGCTTAGAGATAAGGAGAGGAAAAGGCAAGTGTATGCAAAATGATGTCATGGGAGGGATAGAGGCCTTTTAACAGCTCCCGATTTCTAGTACTAAGCTCCTGGTTCCTATATTTCAAGATTCTTGGTTTGATTCCTGTTTATAACTTAATGTTCATTAAGGTTTTGCCTTTCTCGTTTTTCTGTTTTCATGTTTATGGATATAACTTTTGAACAATATCCTGCTTGGGGATTCTTTTGCTTTGTATTAACTCAAGTCTCTGTAGATACCTTGGTTCAAAAGCTGATGAACTCTTGATCTCATTGGGAATTACTTTTTGACCTTTTGCTGCTTCTTTTTTGACTTGCCTTTTCCCTTTTATACTTATTCATTAATAAACTTTTACTTATTGGATCATCGGAACATTGTGTGGTGTTCAGCAAGAAAGTGTTCCAGGGCTACAGTGCAACAGGGTCATTGTAAGATATAAGTATGACCAGGCATGTAGCCGGAGGGGGAGGGGGCTTGAAGGGCTTCAGCCCCCCCCCCAAATTCTCAGAGTGGTCCACAAGAAGGTCTTACTGGTACATTATTTAAACTGCTATGTTTATTCATATCATTATCTGATCACCATGCTCAATATATCCCATATGCCTGGGGGTATTGGGATAATGATACAAAAGGTTTGCTAGGGTAGGTCCTCTCTCACTCAGACTCAGCACCCCCCCCCCATCAAACTCAGCCCCCCCACCCCGAATCAAAATCCTGGCTACGGGCCAGAGTATGACACACTCTATAGCCTCCCATGCAGAATCTCCTGCTGTTTACTATTCTTAGAGGTGATGCCAAAAATTTCTGTTATCCTAGATCCTCTTCCTTTCTCTGTCACTGACCCTTTTCTATGTATCTGCAGATCATTTGTAATAATACCTTACTTTCCTCCCCTGGTGGTGCAGGAGGTTAAAGTACTGAGTTGCTGAACTTGCTGACTGAAAGGTTGGCCCATGAGTGGGGTGAACTCCTGCTGTTAGCCCCAGCTTCTGCCAACCTAGTAGTTCAAAAACATGCAAATGTAAGTAGATCGATAGGTATCGCTCTGGTGGAAAGATAACGGCACTCCATGCAATCATGCCGCCACATGACCTTGAAGGTATTTGTTTATTTATTTATTTATTTAAAACATTTATCTCCTGTCCTTCTCAACCTCCATGGAGGGACTCAGAACGGCTTCCAAACAGGCAAGAATTTGATGCCAAACATATCTATGGATAATGCCAGCTCTTTGGCTTAGAAATTGAGATGAGCACCACCCGCTAGAGTCAGACTCGCCTGGACTTAATGTTGAGGGGAAACCTTTCCTTTACCTTTTGCTTCCCTCCCCAGCCCTATCTTTAAGTATATCTGAAATCTTTGTGTTTAACTTCTTAGATGTAAGAGCTTTTGCTGGCTTTTGTGTAGAAAAAGTGTGTTGAAGCTTTGTGATACGCTCACTATACAGGTGAGGAAGTTCTTTCCCATCATTTTGAGTTTCAGAGCGAAATGTTTAGGAAAATTCATTCTGATGTTAGAAAGACACTGAAATTGCTGATTTCTTGCCATGGTAAAGGTAGTTCATATCTGTGACATGTAACACTGCAGTACATTGGGAACATGGAATATTCTTATCCATTTAATATTGGAAACTATTAAGCAGTTCCATAACATGTAGATTAATGTTACTGCATATATGGAGTAAGACTAGTATCTCAAATTATGAAGGCCAATCTTTGAAGTGGGTACATTGATATTTAGACCCTTCATTGATTTATTAATTGTGATGCTTCTGCGATGGTTCTATTTGCAACCTCCAAAAACAGATGGCAAGTAGCTTTCTTCATCCAGTTTGTCCAAGACTAAATGATATGCATTCCTTTTAGCTCTTGGTATAAGGATTGATAGAGTCATGCAGTAGGTTAATACAAGAGCTGAATGATTCTTTGGTGGAAACAGCAGAGCAAAAGTCAAATACTCACATGCATTATGTGTGAATCATCTTTCAGGTTGGGTTTTTATAACACATTAAAATGTCCTTTCTTGTTTGTAATGTTGTCATGTTCCCTTCCCTAGCAATTCTCCACAAAATCTTCTGTACATGTTTTCCAAGATAGTTTCTTAATATTTATGACCTAACTGAACTTCAAAGCAATCATGAGGAGGATGGCTAACCGGGGCTGATCAATACAGTGGCTTAACAGGCAATGGACCTTGAACATAGTGTCAATGAACTGCGAAAGGAATTACCCTAGGCTATAGTTAATTAAAAGTGAAATAATCAGCTTCCTTTTGTTGAAACTATCACTTTTGAGATGCAGTCATATTCTTACCTCACAGTCACTTGCCATTAGGAGAAGCAAGAACCATGAAATTATATACTAGAGATTAAGTTTAATAGCTGTGTGATTACTCTTTTACTACCTTGTGTCTCCTCTTTAACTGAGATGTAACAATTTGATGTTGGTGTGTCTCAAATGAGTAAACAGTGAAAGTACAATGATCTTATATAATTTGGTAAAAGAAAATTGAGTAAGAATTGCTATTATGCTCGGAGAAGCTGTCATCTCTTTGAGTGAAATATTTCAAAACTCTTTCCTGCCTTTTTTCATTTGGGTGTTTCTTCTGTGATTAAGTTCACTTCACTTCAAGCGAGTTGCTTACTTTCTCTCTAATAGCTTTCAAAAAAGTTTTTTTAAAAAATTGAAAAACTGCAAGTTGCTTCTTGTGTGAGAGAATTGGCTGTCTGCACATACATTGCCCAGGGGACGCACAGATGTGTTACCATCTTGTGGGAGGCTTCTCTCATGTCTCCACATGAGAAATTGGAGCTGGCAGACGGGAGCTCACACCATCTCATGGATTCGAACTGCCAACCTTCAGATCAGCAGTTCAGCTGGGACAAGGGTTTAACTATTGCGCTATCGTGGCTCTTTATTTCAAATGGAAGATCCTTTCTTAAACCTTCAGTGGTAACAAATAGAAGCTTTCAATAAGATGCACAGGAATTGGGAATTCTAGATGGAGGGAGAGGTTGTATTAGGGCCCTTTCACACAGCCATAGAACCCAGAATATCAAGGCACAAAATCCCACAATATCTGCTTTGACCTGGGTTATCTGAGTCCACACTGCCATATATTCCAGTTCAAAGCAGATAATGTGGGATTTTATTTAGCTGTGGGGAAGAGGACTAAGTCTGCATATCTCACCTGACACCCCTGATACTTGCCCTTTACTAAAAAGTATCCACTTGCTCTGGTTCTGGATCTAGCAAAAGTTGTCTGTTCTCTGATCTCTCCTGCTATATATATAACTAGATAGATCCATGGGTGCACATTTTACTTTTTCATCTCCACCATCTTCAGCTATTTTAATCCTAATGCTCTTGCAAAGATTGTTCTCTTCCTAGCTGCACAATCAGCTAGAAATTGCCTCCCAAGACATCTGTGTGATGCTTTTTTCTTAGTCCTTTCCCATTAATTCTGAAAAAAACCCCGCTTTTTCAAAGTAAAGCTTTTGACTTCATTGTTCTTCTGCTATAACAGATCCCATTTATGTAATTTAAGCAATCAAATGTTATCTCCCAATATACCTGTATTTCACTTCCTTTGAAGTTTCATTTGTGCTGGTTTTTATTGTAGAATCTCTTACACCAAGCATGCTGAGAGCACAGAGCCAGTGTAATGTAGTGCTTTGATTGGGATTCCAACAGGATTCAAATCCCTGCTCAGCCATGAAAAACCTAGTGGGTGATCATAAGCCAGTCAGCCTTCATGGGAGGCAAAGGCACATGCCTTCTGAAGAAATCTTGCTGAGAAACTCCCATGATAGATTGCATTAGGGTCTCCATAAGTCAAAAATGGCTTGAAGGCAACCAGGAAGAGGATATTTTAAAATTTTAAATTTTATTGATCGATGTTGTTCATGTTGTATTCAGTCAGATTGTGTATTGTTTTGATGATATGTAATTCCATTTTATGTGTGGCACCTTGAGTACTTTGTTAGCTGCCCTGAGTCCCTTCAGGGAGATGGTGGTGAGGTACAAATAACGATGATGATGATGATGATGATGATGATGATGATTAGAAACACAACAAGATGAGTCCACAGCAGACACTCTGCTGGCTGTTGTATTGGATCACACATCGGACACTTCCCAAGTGTCTAGGACTGTGTGATGTATCGGATAATAATGCGTGCAGATCTCATCAAGGTGGCCTTCTGTAGCTGTCAGCGCCAATTGTGTTTAAGTGCAGGCCAAGGTCTTTAGGCACTGCACCGAGTGAGCCGATCACCACTGGGACCACCTTGACTTTGCAGTTCAATCTTTAAATCCTCATATCATGTCAGCTTTTCCAGTTGTTTCTCTTCAATCCTGCTGTCACTTGGGATGGCAACATCAATAATCCATACTTTTATGATGATGGTGATTATTATTATTGGAGGAGGAGGGGTCACAATAAAGAAAGAAATTTCAGATATGGTTGTACCCCAGCTTTTAATATTCTTATCTTTCTCCATATGCTCAAGATAAAAGATGAAATAGACTAGAACGCAACATGCAATATTTTACTTCCTTTCCATGTATAGTATGGAAGGTAAAATTCAACATATTTCACCTAACAAATATGCAAAATTCCTGTGCAGGCACTTTTTCTTCAGTGTTATACTGAAACAACGATAGTAACTGAAATACCCTCAGTAATTCCTTTTGCAGACTAAAGTTTATGAGCTGTTTGTCAGTAGGAAACTTTGCAGGCAGAATTTGCTCAAGAATCAAAATAGAATTGCTGTTCTTCTACTATAACCACTCGCACACATATTAATCATTTTTTAAAAGTGATATGAAGACTTCTATGCAAAATAGAAACTATGGAAATTTCATTTTCTTGATGTGAAAGCATTGTTTCAGTTAATCTAGCCATGATGGTGTTATCCTCTATAGTAGGATTTTGGTGACTGTTACTGTGAGTCAAACTGATGTGCAAAATCGCAGGGTTATGACAGACTTCAATTAGCAATGTTCCTATCTCAGTATAAATGATGAATTTAGTACAATAGTAGAAAAATATACTCTTAAATGCTGTTTTTAGCAAAGTTGTTTTCGCTAAGTGGAAAATTGTACTGCATGTGAATACATACATAGACACTTCATGCTGCATAAATCATTATAATTTAGTTTATACAAAGTCCTATATCAGTGGTTCTCAACCTGTGGGTCCCCAGGTGTTTTGGTTTACAACTCCCAGAAAGCCCAGTCTGTTTACCAGATGTTAGGATTTCTGGGAGTTGAAGGTCAAAACATCTGGGGACCCACAGGTTGAGAACCACTGCCCTATATGAAGTTTACATAATTTATAAATGGCCTTTTCATAGTGATTTGAGCACGGGCCTATTGTATTGCCTTGGTTTTTGCTAGCTATTTGAACAATAGGGTAGCATTCTAAAAATATAATTGTCTGGTGACTAGGTAAGTCTAGGTGGATTTCTACAGAATTGAGATGGGAATGGAATGAGATTAATGGATCTGCCATTAATGCAATGGGTCAATGGGTTTCTTACTTGTCTGTAGAATTTAATATGTGGAAAGATGAAAAGTTGCTTTGTCTAGGGAAGAGATTTCTGCATATGTAGCATTTAGCAACATACATTAAGTGCCTTTTATGAGTTAGTGTTTGCTTCTAGACACAACCTAGATTTCTTATTATTTGAATGTTCTTTACATATGGCTTAATTTAAAAAAAACAATACTTTGAACATTGGATAGAAAAAATAAAGACAACACTGAAGATTAGGTCTAAAATTAATGATGACCAATCACAGCATTGCAGGGCATGGTGCCTTTAGCTGATTTTTCTCATCTCATAGGGATACATTTGGAATATGTTTTCTTTGTCTTTCTCAATGGAATGGGGCATTTGCTGCCATAGTGTGTTCAGAAGAGAGTGTTTGTCTTCAAATAACTTCTGTTCTCAGGTGTCTTGAGTCTGATTCCATGTGTAAAAATGCTTTCTTTAAAAAGAATATGTATCCTCCAGGGACTAACAGACATTCCTAACACTGAACTTGTTTTCCTCTCATGTTCCACTTACCACTGATGTTGTCCTCTGCTAGGCTATCAATAAAGGAATGGGACAGGAAGTGCCTGCTCCTCGGCTTGCACCTTCATCTCAGGTGAGTATCTTTACTTTTATTTTCATTGATTTTCAAACAGAATCTCCCTCTTCTTATTTTCTCATTCTTTGCATAGCTAAATTGTATCAATTGTTATGATAGATACAAGGTGATTCAGGCAAGTCTTTTTATTTTGTAGTTATATGCCTTCAAGCTGACTTCAACTTTTGTTGACACCACTCAGGGTTTTGTTCCTTCAAGGATAAGAAAGTGTAACTTGCCCAAGATCACTCAGTAAAGTTTCCATGACTGAGAAGGAATTTGAACCTTGCTCTTCTGAAATCTAAGTTCAAGTTTCTTTACCACAATCTTAACCTTGAAATTGCCCTGTCTGAAATCTAGAGTTTATCAGAGAGACCAGACAGCAATATCTTCAAGATGTAACCCCCTGAGTTTTCTTCTTCTACATTCTCAGGAATAAATGCTCTAAGGAAGAAGAATGAACATTGCTGTTTCGTAGTGTTTATAGCTGCCTATACATATATCTATGCTTTTCTAACCAGATTGCTGTTTACCCTAGGAAAGCTAGCCAAAGTTTCAAGAGTACTTTTTCTTTTCCCTTTTGGTTCCTAAACTGGTCAGGAATGGGGTCTTCTATAAGCAGTCGGCTTGAAGAACCATGCTAAGAAATTTATATTATAGAGAACTGTACATCAGATTGGAAGTTAGAATTGTCATCCCCATGGGCAGACAAACTGTGTCTGAATTACACAGTTATAGTTGTTGGATACTACTTTAAACCTTCATGGGTTCATTCTTCAAAATCCTTCAGGATGTTGAAGTAGTTAGAATTTTCTGCTAGAGAGTCCTGATACTTCATATGTGTCTATGGGTAAGTACATTTTTGTCTGTCCAATATATTCTAAAATGTATAGTCTAAATTTGGGCTGGGGAATTGGGGGGGGAGGGGACACGGGGACAGCAGTGCTCAAACACACAGCCCTCTGCAGATCACATTTAGTGCTTCCTAGTGCCATAAATCAGGGCTTCTTAAACTTTTTCAACTTACCCAATAATTTTTATGTGTATATATAGATGTATAAAATACGTATACAAATCTAAGTTTTTAAAGGAATAATGGTTAGTTAAATCCATGGATATGCAGGACCAATTGTATCATAGTAATAACAATTAGTTCATGCCTAACTTCCAAGTATGTTTTCCTTACCCCTAGTCACAACTATTTGAAAACAAAACTTAAGGGTTTCTGGATATGTAAATCTAACAGAGTGTTAGTATAAAGAGTTTTAAATAAATACATTTGTTGTAGTTATGTAAAGTCAAATGGAATAGTCACTTGGAGAAAAGATGGTGACTTTTTTCTTTGACTTTTGGTGTTTTGTGGCTGCTAATTGTAGCAGCTAAAGATTGATGGACTTTTATGAAAGTTCTATGAAATTTACTTACCCAAGGACACTGGAAGGCCATGAAATTACACTGGTACGATCACTTCCAAGTATTACAATAAGTTAAAATAATTAATTTTGCTGATTATAGCCTGATGCTTCTCTAATTTCTTGGTCACTTCATTGTGAGCAATATTTCATCTATAATCCATGTTTAATGTGTCCGATGGATATAAACTATCTCCATTGAGGAATATATCCTAAACTTCACACATCAGTATCCATCCCACAAGCTCATTCATTTTATACACAACTAGACAGCAGCAAGAATATTCTAGTTGCAACCCTACAACCTTCTCATCCAGGCAGTATTTTTGTACCCTATGATGACATAAATGAAAAGCAACTCCCACACAGCAACAGTTTAAGAAGAAAAAAACCCTACTTTTTTCTCTAGCCTAGAAAACACTAACCTTAAGGAACTGATGGGATTTTGAAGCTTGCAGAAGGCAAGAATGTAAACAGGTGAATAAGCACATTTTCCAACAGCTCCAAGGAGCTATATGGTGATGACAACATCCATAGTCTTATACATGTGTGTTTTCAATCTTCCCCATATTATAGTTTTGGACTAATTGTAAACCATTTGTGAATTGAAAAATTATACAGTCATAGACTTGAAAGAGACCACAGTCCAACCCCCTGGAACAATCAAAGCTGTCATGTCAAATGGCCATCCAGCCTCTATTCAAAAATTTCCAAAGAAGGAATGCAGCACATTCATTGGTTGAATAGCTCCCACTTAATACTGAAGGGAAATCTCTTTCCTGTAATTTGAGTCTATTGATCTCTGGAGCAGCAGAAAATAAGCCTGCTCCAGCATCAACATGATATCCTTTCATATATTTAAACATCGCTATCATGACAACCTTCTCGATTATAGATCTCCTTAGGTCATTCCTCATAGGGCATGGCTTGCCATTTTGGTCAACCTTTTCTGGACACGTTCCAGCTTTTCACTATCCTGGAATACACTAAAGTGACTTTTTTGCCTTGGAGCTATTGGTTTGAGTAAGTTTTGAAGTAAATTCTAAAAGTTGGAACAAATCTTCATCGGGATGTTTGAAAAAAAGGAAGTTATTGTAGGTTGAGCTCTGTTTACATAAAGTAGTGATCATGAAGGTTTCTGCCGTCCACATTTTTATCTCCCTTCCTGCATATAGACAAGGGAATCTCTGCAGTCTCACCACAAGATGGGGCTTGAATAACTAGAGCAGAATACTTAAAGAAATGTAGAGTAGCTCTCTTTAATCATGCAAATTCTGGCAATAGCTTTAATTGTGGATTCTTCAAGGCCACTGAGATCTGCTGGGGTCAACTTTTATCAGCTGCAAAGATGTCCCATGAATCTCAACTATTGCTGCTATCATGGGGGGAAAGCCCAAATCTATTTGCCAATTCCATTTAGTGTAGATATATTCAATCACTGGGTGACCTTGTGATTTAATATATCTTGTGTTGTTGTTCATTTGTTCAGTCGTCTCCGACTCTTCGTGACCTCATGGACCAGCCTACGCCAGAGCTCCCTGTCGGCCGTTACCACCCCCAGCTCCCTCAAGGTCAGTCCAGTCACTTCAAGGATGCCATCCATCCATCTTGCCCTTGGTCGGCCCCTCTTCCTTTTGCCTTCCACTTTCCCCAGCATAATTGTCTTCTCTAGGCTTTCCTGTCTCCTCATGATGTTGCCAAAGTACTTCAACTTTGTCTCTAGTATCTTTCCCTCCAGTGAGCAGTCGGGCTTTATTTCCTGGAGGATGGACTGGTTGGATCTTCTCGCAGTCCAAGGCACTCTCAGCACTTTCCTCCAACACCACAGTTCAAAAGCATCGATCTTCCTTCGCTCAGCCTTCCCTAAGGTCCAGCTCTCACATCCGTAGGTGACTACAGGGAATACCATGGCTTTGACTAGGCGGATCTTTGTTGCCAGTCTGATGTCTCTACTCTTCACTATTTTATCGAGACTGGACATTGCTCTCCTCCCAAGAAGGAAGCGTCTTCTGATTTCCTGGCTACAGTCTGCATCTGCAGTAATCTTTGCACCTAGAAATACAAAGTCTGTCACGACCTCCACGGTTTCTCCCTCTATTTTCCAGTTGTCAATCATTCTTGTTGCCATAATCTTGGTTTTTATGTTTAGCTGCAACCCAGCTTTTGCGCTTTCTTCTTTCACCTTGATTAGAAGGCTCCTCAGCTCCTCCTCGCTTTCGGCCATCAGAGTGGTGTCATCTGCATATCTGAGGTTGTTAATGTTTCTTCCAGCAATTTTCACCCCAGCTTTGCATTCATCAAGCCCCGCACATTGCATGATGTGTTCTGCATACAAGTTAAAAAGGTTGGGTGAGAGGTATGCAGCCTTGCCGTACGCCTTTCCCAATCTTGAACCAGTCTGTTGTTCCATGGTCAGTTCTTACTGTTGCTACTTGGTCCTTGTACAGATTCCTCAGGAGAGAGACAAGGTGGCTTGGGATGCCCATCCCACTAAGAACTTGCCACAATTTATTATGATCCACACAGTCAAAGGCTTTAGAATAGTCAATGAAGCAGAAGTAGATGTTTTTCTGAAACTCCCTGCCTTTCTCCATTATCCAGCGGATATTGGCAATCTGGTCTCTCGTTCCTCTGCCTTTTCTAAACCCAGCTTGAACATCTGGCAACTCTCGCTCCATGTATTGCTGGATTCTTCCTTGCAGGATCTTGAGCATTACCTTACTGGCATGAGAAATAAGGGCCACTGTACGGAAGTTTGAGCAGTCTTTCGCATTTCCTTTTTGGTATGGGGATATAAGTTGATTTTTTCCAGTCTGATGGCCATTCTTGTGTTTTCCATATTTGCTGGCATATGGCATGCATCACCTTGACAGCATCATCTTTTAAGATTTTAAACAGTTCAGCTGGGATCCCGTCATCTCCTGCTGCCTTGTTGTTAGCAATGCTTCTTCAGGCCCATTCAACTTCACTCCTCAGGATGTCTGGTTCTAATTCATTCACCACACCGTCATAACTATCCTCAATATTATTATCCTTCCTATACAGATCTTCTGTATAGTCTCGCCACCTTCTCTTGATCTCTTCAGCTTCTGTTAGGTCCCTGCCATCTTTGTTCTTATCATACCAATTTTTGCCTGAAATTTACCTCCAATGTTTCTAATTTTCTGGAAGAGGTCTCTTGTCCTTCCTATTCTGTTGTCTTCTTCCACTTCCATGCATTGCTTATTTAAAAATAGTTCCTTATCTCTTCTGGCTGACCTCTGGAATTGCGCATTTAACTGGGCATATCTCCCCTTATCCCTGTTTCCTTTTGCTTTCCTCCTTTCTTGGGCTACTTCCAGTGTCTCAGCAGACAACCATTTTGCCTTCTTGGTTTTCTTTTTCTTTGGAACGTACTTTGTTGCCGCCTCCTGAACAATGTCTCGGACTTCTGTCCATAGTTCTTCTGGGACTCTGTTTACTAAATCTAGTCCTTCAAATCTGTTCTTCACTTCCACTGTATATTCGCTAGGAATGTTAGTGAGATCATATCTAACTGGTCTGTGTATTTTCCCTGATCTCTTTAGTTTTATTCTAAATTGGCAATAAGAAGTTCGTGATCTGAGC